ATATATATATATATATATATATATATATATATATAATTGATTTGTAGTTGAAATGTGTTAGTAAAATAAATAATGCGTATATTTTAAGATAATTTCTAATTAAAATTTGTAATTAATTTATTTCAACTAAAATTAGAGTATAAGAGTAAGCTTTGGTTCAAACCTTATTATTAATAGTTTTTTTACGTATATTTTTTTTATACTAAAAATCAAATGAGTGTAAGGGTTGGTTTAGGATAATTATTGATTATTAGTTTAGTAGTTAAACATTATATTTAGAAATAAGGATGAATTTGTAATATTATTTGCTTTTTACATGTGTCACCTCATCGTATAAAATTACTTATTTATTTATATATATATATATATAGATATATATTAACATTTGTGATACTTATGTTAAGGGGTCAAATATGTATTTAAGTATTTTATAAATCATATATATTAAAAAAATGAAATTAAAACTAAATTAAACTATTTAAGTGATAATATGTAGAAGAAGGAAAACAAATGTAGAAAGTTTCCATTGTGAACGCAATTATAAATTTTTAAATGCATTATGATGGGAAAGTGGTCCTCATTTAAATAGGTTTAATGTTCATTATACTAATTTGTAACGAGTTGCCTTATTGTTATGACTAATCTTGAATATATCATTTGAGTGTCCTTTCAATTTCAACTATTGTCATTGGACAACTAAATCCATGCTTTGTGACAACGATATAGACATCACACTTGTATTTAAATTTTACAAAGCTAATTTTAGATAAACTTAATTTCATTATTTTTAGTCATGATATAATTAAACAAATAGATTTATATTTAAAAATATTTGTACACTATAAGTATTATTTACATTAATGTCATTATCTATTATATTGACACTCCAAACAATATAAAAATTCAATTGTTAGTGTATAAATAAAATGTTAATCTAGTTAAGTGAGGATGTTTGATATCCTTCCGTCCTTTTTACATTTAGCTCTATTAACCGATGTAAATATTACTCTTTTCTCTCTCTGTGGGTTTTAGTGTTTTTGTTAAAAAAAATGTTAATCATTTTAATTATATTGTTGATATAATGTTTGTTTAACGAATATTAAATCCTTAGTATAAATATTGCAAAATAAAAAATAAAATAAAAAACTACTTTAGTAGATTGGAATTAATGATAGACAGTGATTTGCATGTGATTTCCTCATTTGGCATAAGTAGTAAGTTGTAAGTGGTAACCACGTTCTGTGCATGACCACTACTATTACTATACCACTAGAAAAGGGAAAGCGGGAACCAAAAAGCGTGTTTTTAATTTTTATGTATAATAGAAAGAGAATGTTAAGACTCAATATTATATACATAATTAATAGCAAATTAGCTGGTTTGCCCGAGAGGTTAAGGGGGAAAGGAAAACAAATGTAGAAAGTTTCCATTGTGAACGCAATTATAAATTTTTAAATGCATTATGATGGGAAAGTGGTCCTCATTTAAATAGGTTTAATGTTCATTATACTAATTTGTAACGAGTTGCCTTATTGTTATGACTAATCTTGAATATATCATTTGAGTGTCCTTTCAATTTCAACTATTGTCATTGGACAACTAAATCCATGCTTTGTGACAACGATATAGACATCACACTTGTATTTAAATTTTACAAAGCTAATTTTAGATAAACTTAATTTCATTATTTTTAGTCATGATATAATTAAACAAATAGATTTATATTTAAAAATATTTGTACACTATAAGTATTATTTACATTAATGTCATTATCTATTATATTGACACTCCAAACAATATAAAAATTCAATTGTTAGTGTATAAATAAAATGTTAATCTAGTTAAGTGAGGATGTTTGATATCCTTCCGTCCTTTTTACATTTAGCTCTATTAACCGATGTAAATATTACTCTTTTCTCTCTCTGTGGGTTTTAGTGTTTTTGTTAAAAGTCCTCAATTTACGAGAAGATTACTGGTGTATCCTCTAGACAGGTACAAAATTCAATATAGTTGATTGATAATTAAGTTTTTTAAACATGTTAACATGAATTCAATGATCTCTATTTTTCGAAAGAAATTAGTATTAGCTATAGTAAAATTCTCCCTTTATTTACATAATATTAGATAAGCTGAAATAACTTCATATCATTTAATCAACCCAACACACACGGTGATATATTTCATTGATTTAATTTAAAGTGAACCTTTGTTTTGATTTAAACTCTGCTTTTATACTGAATTTATGTATGATATTATAAATGTGCCGTATCTTATGAGTTTTAAATTTATGATATATTCTTAAATTTGTGTTGTGCACCGTATTTATACCTGAAGTTGAAAGCGTTGAGCATGTGATTCCAAATATTTGCTGCAAAATGAATTGCAATGGTTGATGGAGTACCCTGTACCATCCAGCTAACTTTACCCAAATTCCTCAACTCTGTAGTATATTCACTATTTAGAGAAGAGATTTTAAAAATTTAAAATGTATAAATGTTTTAATTTCTTTAATTATTTTTAAAAATTATATGGATAAAATAATTTAATTTTTTAATGCTTCAAATTCTTGTTAATAACTAAAAGTATGGTATGATTGATAAATAACTTTTTTTCTTAAACATGCATATAATTAAAAGTTTCTGGTGTACGTAAAAAATATATATTTGTCAGAAGAAATTCCATGTTTTATCATCAAAATTCTTGTAAACAATTTATATTTCTTAAAAAATTTTCGGTATTTAAAATTTAGTATTAATTGATACAAATGAACGGATAAAATACATTCTATCAAGACAACATTGACGTGTCTTCTCTGTAGAAATTCTTGAATCAAACAAATGGCACCAATTGTCACTCACTATATACACAGTAATTGTATTTTTGCTGTGACCTCGAATCAAGTTAGCATTACGTTTTTCACACTAATTCTTTGACAAAACAAATTCAACTTGAGAATCTCACAAATGAACTGATGCCATCTTTATCCAACTATAAATACGTGTCTTGCATGGCATTTGGTTACCAACACACCTTGCAATATTTTGCTTCAGGAAGTGATCTTTTCTTCAAATTAAATATCATCGTAAGTTTATTAATTAGCATGATGATGAAATCCTTATGGAAAAGCCTTCAACAGAAGTGTATGAAGCAAAAGAGTGAAGTTGACGATAGTAGTGTGTCAGTGCATGGTGATGACTTGGTTGTTTTGCCGCCAAATTGCAATTGTTGCATAGAGGAAAACAAAGAATGTAACTGTGACCACGTTAATGCCGCAGAAGAGCGTGATGATAACGCCAACAGTTCTTTTACTCATGCTGTCATCAACATGGTGGGGATGCTCATAGGTAATGATTTGCACAATTGTATTCAATTTCACGCACACACGTACATACGTACATATTCTATGAACCAATAGATTGCATTTAGTAGTGAAAGGCAACGCACAAAATGTTAGTTTTAAGTTTTGTTGCGGTCATTATAACTAAAAGATATCAATAAATCATTTAAAAGTCTTAAATATTTCGGAATATTTTATATTTCAAACCAACTATGTGTGTTCATATATCTTTCAGGTCTAGGGCAACTATCAACTCCATATGCAGTACAAAATGGAGGGTGGTCCTCTACATCCTTGCTTGTGGGACTAGGGGTGATGTGTTCTTATAGTTCTCACATACTTGGAAAATGCCTCAAAAAGAATCCCAAGTTAAGAAGTTTTGTGGACATTGGTAAGCATGCATTTGGAGCGAAAGGAAGATTAGTGGCTTCAACAATCATCTACATGGAGATCTTCATGGCCCTTGTTTCCTACACCATCTCATTACATGATAATTTGATCACAGTGTTTTTGGGGACAAATTTGAAGCTGCACTTGCCTAATTTTTCTTCATCTCAGCTCCTAACAGTGGTGGCAGTCTTTATTTCCATGCCTAGTTTGTGGATCAGAGACCTTTCCTCCATATCTTTCCTTTCAAGTGTAGGTATTCTCATGTCTCTACTCATTTTCTTGTGTGTTGTAGCCACTGCACTTTTAGGTGTTCATCCCAATCATACCATACCTGTCCTCCACCTCCGTAACATTCCATCAGTATCTGGCCTTTACATCTTCGGATATGGAGGACATATTGTGTTCCCTGATTTATACAAGGCCATGAAAGACCCCTCCAAATTTACAAAGGTACCTAAATTTCATGAAATTTTATACACTTATCTACTTAATAAGTAAATAGTCCATGCAAACATACATAAAAAACGTAAAACTTTTTATACTATTATCCAATCAAAAATTGATACATACGACAAATTCATTTGTTTATCTTAATTTTTTATTATTTAATAAGTGGAAGACTCTTTATATCGATGGTACATAAAAATTAAACTCTTTTTTCTGTTGATATAAATGTTATATATTCTTTATTCTACAAATCGCACATTAAGGTTTAATAGTGATATCCAATGTTAGTATACAATAGTTTTACTCTATTAACCAATTGGTATAACTTTTAAGCTAACTATTCTAAAACTCAATAAGTTTACTATAAATGGTGGTTATACAAGGCCATGAAAGACCCCTCCAAATTTACAAAGGTACCTAAATTTCATGAAATTTTATACACTTATCTACTTAATAAGTAAATAGTCCATGTAAACATACATAAAGAACGTAAAACTTTTTATACTATTATCCAATCAAAAATTGATATATACAACAAATTCATTTGTTTATCTTAATTTTTTATTATTTAAGTGGAAGACTCTTTGTACCGACGGTGCATAAAAATTAAACTCTTTTTTCTGTTGATATAAATGTTATATATTCTTTATTCTACAAATCACAAATTAAGGTTTAATAGTGATCCAATGTTAGTATACAATGGTTTTACTCTATTAACCAATTGGTATAACTTTAAAGCTAACTATTCTAAAACTCAATAAGTTTACTATAAATGGTGGTTATTGATCTGTGATTAGACGAGATACACTTTGAGTGCATGGCCTGTTTTCTCAAATTTTAAAGCATTTTAGTTATGTTTGTTTGGAAATTTCAGGTCTCTATTGTGAGCTTCGCAGTAGTTACAGCAGTGTATACAACATTGGGGTTCATGGGTGCAAAAATGTTTGGTAATGATGTAAAGTCTCAGATCACACTCAGCATGCCACCAGAGCGCATTGTGACAAAGATTGCTCTGTGGGCAACCGTGGTGACACCAATGACCAAATATGCACTTGAATTCACACCATTTGCAATTCAGCTAGAGCATGCACTTCCAAGTTCCATGAGTGGCAGGACCAAAATGATAGTTAGGGGCTGTGTTGGTTCATTTTCACTTTTGATCATCCTAACCCTTGCTCTGTCATTTCCATATTTTGAGCATGTACTTAGCCTCACTGGTTCCCTTGTTAGTGCGTCTGTTTGTTTGGTTTTGCCATGTGCTTTCTACATTAAGATATGTTGGGGTCAGATTTCAAAGCCTATCTTACTCATAAACCTCTCTCTCATCATATTTGGCTTTATTCTTGCCGTCATGGGTACCATTTCCTCATCACAGTTACTTCTGAAGAATTTTCAGTTACATCACTCAACTTGAGGGAACTTAATTGGAATGATTCAGCATATGTGTCCCCTTCTCATATAAGTCTATATACGTATACATGATATGTACCACTAAATGTTCTAATGTTCGATTATAGTACTTTTGTGTAGATTCCACCTTATCGATTCGAGGGTCATTGGAGGAAATGGATCCCTGATTTTGTGGAGGGAAAGTTAGGGTAACTTAATACATTTCAACCGTTAGATTTGTAATAAATGATCAGATTGTGACACGTGTACATTTAAGTTAAAATATATATTGTACACGTGTCACAATCTGATTTATTTTTATACATTTAACGGTTGAGATGTATTAAGTTACCATAACTTTCTTTCCCCAAAGTCAGAGAATCCGGATCCGTCATTGGAGGATCCCCGGGAATTAGCTTGCATGTATGCAAAATTTATTCCAGCTAGGCCAATGTTCTGCAAATATGAAAAGGAACTGATTATAAAATTCCAAATAGCACACAAAATTCTTCAACACACTTTACATACAATTGTTTAAAACCAAGATGCCAAAAAGATACAATTACCATATAGCCTTGTTTATAAGTAATCACATGAAAACTAATCAAAGAAAATATCATGAATTAATTTAAGTATTTAGTCTTGAAAATAGAATAACTTATACTCACTTTCTTTTGCGAAGCTATGTATTTTTTTTTTTTTTTCATTTTGTAATGCACATTTTAATTTTGTGAGTTTTTATACCAATTTAAATCAATATTTTGAAAGAGAATGTATCCATTGCAGCATTCAGATCTTGTAAGCTATCCACAAAGACTACATTACTTAGATGTTAAACAATTTTGAAAAAAAAAAACAGTTGTAAGAATTTTCCTTTAAATTTCAAAATTCACAGAAAACAAATTATCTATGAAGATTTTTCTTGAGAACAAAATTTTGCAAAAGAAATTTTAGAGAAAAAATTGCCGGGAATTAAATTTTAGTGTAGATGTTTAAACAGCCAACTAGATATAAAAATGACATGTGTTCGTTAGATGGATCGATCCTCCACTCTTTGGTAAAAATTCCAACAGGTGTCGTTTAATTATATTAAGAATTCCCATTCATTGAATCATATTTGTCATAGTATTTTATTATATATACAAAAAGTCTTCAACAGGTATCATAAAAATAATTGATTAAGAAATAATAAATGTTTTTTATTAGAAAGTTACATTAGTTATATATTGATAACATTAAGTTTTTATATTTTTTTAACTTCTAATTGTTTGACAAATACCCCTTATAAATGCGCACTAACGTTCTCTGCAGAAAGAATTTAGTGTCAGACTCTAGTAAACAGTTCCGAAAAGATCTGGATGACATCCTAAAATATTTGTTAGAATAAATTTTTTCTGTATTTTTCCCCCTGCGCATCAAACTTTTTTTAGTGCATTAGGCTCAGATGATTGGACTCACCCCTGTAACATGCCTATCAACTTTTAATTTCTTTAATCACTATAAAATAAGTTTTTATACACTCCAAATAGAGTATGATTTTAAACTCACTTACAACAGTACAATTCTTAGCATTTTAATAAACGCGTTAATAAAAAAGTTCAGAAAGAAAGCTTCACCACCCGTATTAATCTTACTCCGGTTTGACCTATATTTATCAGTGATCTTAGGTAAAACTAAAATTAAAATATCCATGTTACTGATGTTTGATAATTAACTTAGAGCATGACACATCGTAGCCGGACTATACCCTTTCATGAGAAATTGAGAATTGAGATGACCGGGTTCTCCAGCAAAGTCCAACAAGTAATATCAATTTGGGTCCATTCTATGTTGTTTTGTAGGAAAAACATGTGACATAAAGACATTAACTAGCATTTTCCTATCAATTGTTATGGTCAAAATAGCAAATTTTCATTTTCAAGATTGTTCTAACGACATTACTTTCTCTAAGTAATTGAATTGATATACGTTAAAGAACCAACCTGCATACTATTCTGCAAAATTACTATTAATGACACTCAGTTGCCCACCATACTTCTATTAATTGTAGATATTTTCCGGCATGATTGATTGCACTTTGAGAACATTAATACATTTTGGACGCAAATGTTAAAGGAGCACTATAATAAGCACTGCTACAAACATGTACATTTACTCCGTAATCCGTATAATGGAAGAATGTTGTTTTGGACGTGCATGGTCATTATCAGTTTTTCAATTCATTTCTTTCACTGCTTTCTATTTTATTTCCTTTGATCTCTTCATCTCCATCTATTGAGGCATACTACATTCGGCAGTAGCGTTTTGTCTCAACATATATTTTACATAAAAGTGACAGGATGTGTTGTACCTACCAATGAAGGTTGTAACTAGCAGCTTGCATAAGCGGGTGTGCAAAGTAAGCTCCTAAGGTTAATGCAGTAATTGTCAAGTATGGCAATCGTATAAACTCCTTGTAGAAATCTTTTGGTAACTTTTGTCTTCCATCAAGGATTGCTGCAAAAGGGATAACACTTGTTCTACTCTTAACTAATTCAAAATTCTCCCCATATTTTATAGCCAGTCGCCTGTCTCCATTCCAGACACCAAATAAATGATGTGCAATTAAGCCAAATGATGCAGCAACAGCCACGGAATTTCCAATCCAAAGCGTATGTGCAAGACACCAGATAACCTGCCCAACCATCTGAAAAGCAAACCTTAAGTGCAAGGAATGTGTCTGAAGTAAAAGCAAATGGGGCAAGGAGTTTGGAGTGCACAAAACATGAATTAGGAGGGAGTTTTTAGAAGATATAATATTACTTTTACGATCTTGCAAACTGATGCCCTTAGGACATTGGTTAAGGAATCAGATATGTACAAAGTTTTCATTCAAAACTACAATAAAGTTACACACGAGAATGTGTTGATAATACCTTTCAATAAAAACTTTCTACTTTTAATTCCTTAACCAATGTTAAGAATTAAGATACTAAGTGTGTGTTTGATTTAGATTTTCAACGTGATAAATCATGTTAAAATGGAAGCTATCAATTATAGCTTTTACGTTTTAAACGTAATTTTTACTCTGAATTACGTTTTGGACGTGTAACCAAACATGTACTAAGGTATTACTACTCCAACTATGTTAGCTTATGCGTCAAGAAAAACAAGTTGCATTGCCAAAGTGAAAAGAAATATTTGAATAAGAAAAGCAGATTATTTATTGATCCAAGTTATGGATGCCAAAAAAACCATGAAGATAACCGAATTTATCAGTGCCATAATATATATCTAGTTAGAGAATTAGATTTATACCTGTGGATGTCTGGTTATTCTTATGATCCCAGTTTCCCATAGATGTAATTTAGGCTTGTCAACAGCTGCAACCTCTAAAAGATTGAAAGTTGAAGGATATAGGAAAAAGAAAGAAATGAAATTAGAAAGCCACAGAAGTTGATGAAGCCCAGGAGCATCCTGGATCTGCCAGAGTTGAAGTCCATCATATCTGTGGTTAATAAAATACACCTGCATCATGACGCCAAACAAGAAAGTAATTTAGTTGGAATCAACTTCATGTCTTCCCTTGTCACAACGAAATCCTAGAGATCCAAATTAAATAAAGCATTTTTGCTTGTGTAGAAGGAGAGAGAAGGACATCGGTTATAGGGGATACAGAGTAGTCACTCACAATAGTACTGACAGCCAAAGGTAGTGATAACCCTGCAAAAAGTACACGGAAAGGTCTTTCTCCAATGAGTTTCTCACCAGTGTTCCGGAAGCTAGCTAAGCCACTGTGGACACCAGCAAATATGAGAATTAGGATCAACATCACCACCTGCAGAATACCATGTCAAGAGTCAGTTACCATTACCAACCAAGCACTATTGCCGCCTTCAAATATGTTATTTAAATGAAAGACAATAGCATCTTTCAAACAAGTTATTTGAATGATACATCAGAGACAACTAGACAACCAATACCGCTAAAAGAAAAGTGAATATTTGGCTATTTGCATATGAATTGTATTAGAGGATGTGTGACTACAAAATAAGCACCTACATGATGTTCTCAAGCCATTGTTTAAAAAAAGAAGAAGAGTTACCACTTCATGTTTTACTTGGTCCCAGTCCTACCCACCTCTCAGTTCTGCAGGCTCCTAGAAAAAAAGTTGATGGTACTATTTTGTTTCCCTTTGGCCATGACTAGTCCAGTGATCCTGTCAAGTGTCAAGTTTGTATGCCATCCTATTTTCACGTGTACAATGTTGTAGATTTTCAGGGAAGTTAATCTCCTCTCACTGACACACTTTACTTTTACTTCTTTTTTCCCAGGCAAGTTGGCATATTTTTCAACAAATCACCTTTCCACTTTTTATAAAGGATAAACAAAAATTACCAGTTGATGAAGAATACAAGCCATAGTTGAGGTGCATAAATTAAGATAATTTTAACTTACAAGCAACAGTCTGACTCATTTTATTTTCTTCCTCCTCTAAGTACTACTTAATACTTATTAAGGAATTTTATCCTACATGGCTCTAAAGCTAAGTCCTACAAGCATAGCCAGTCCAATAAGGGGAAAGAGCTTTCAAATTCAATCCAGTTCCACTACAAGTTATTAACTGGAACCGTGTATCTCACTCACAACAAATCACAAGCAGCTAACATAGGACTATTGCCCTTGCCCGAATCATGAGTTTGGAAAATACTGTCATATCCAATACAACCACCACAAAAGGTATGTTTGGAGGGGAAGGGATGGGAGGGTTGCTTTTTTATTATCATCATTATTTGCTATTACCTTCGATCCTAATTATAAGCGACAAATTAGTCTTTGTCCAACAATCATTAATTTTTTAAAGTAACTCAGGATTAAATTTCTTTATTATCCTTAGTTTATTGTTAATTCTATTTCTTGTACATTTACTTATAACTAAAATATAACAACCATTTAACATAAAGGGCATATTCAGAATAAAATTTGAATTTATGATAGAATTAATTAAAAATGATCATATAAATTACTTTTCTTGATCTCGATGATTTGTTCTATGTTATTTATAATTAAGATGGTGGTAGTATTTCAATAAGTAAATAAATAAATAAAACATAGAGTCAGCATGAAATTTCTTGGCATCTATTATTTGTATAGTAACCACTCATTTTAGTTCGCTGTTAAATAATTTCCTAAAATTAAGAAATTATGACCAGAAACTTAACTAATGACCATTTTAGTCCACAGAATATATTTCAATATTATCAATTTACTCAAACATTTTTTGAGTTTTGAATTAGTGTAATTGTGGATTTGTAATTTCAATAACTTATTTTATAATTTCTTAGTTTCAGGGATGAATGTGACGGCGTCTTCCAAACTGAGGAGTGTCAACCCACCCTTCCTTTTCACTCTAAACTCGTCCATTCGCCCAAATTTCAAAGGAAAAATAAAATAAAATAAAATAAAATTTTCCGTCCTCATTTCCAAGCAACACAATTCAAACAGTGGAAAGTGTTGGAATAAAAGAAGGAGCATTACCTCGTGAGAATCAGAAAGCGTTGAAACCGCGTCAACGAAGGGTTTACCGAAGCCAGTTGAATTGTCAATCCAGGCGACGTTGAGCACATAGAGAACCACTCCCAAAATTGCGGTGAAATAAATCCACGAAGATAACTTCTGTTCCCCCAATCGAAACGCCGCGGAGTCCTCCCCCACGAACCCTAACTCCTCCTCGCTCTCGCTCTCCTTCTCACTCTCTCTCTCTCTAATTGAAGTGCGAGCAACCACCCTGCGACAGTAAATCGCAGATTTTGAACTCCATCGAGGCAAGTTGGAGAAGCATAAATGAGAAGTCTGATTAGGGTTTGTTTTGGAGATTGGATTCAAACAAGAGAGAGCGGAAAGGGAGCGACGGTAGCCATAGTTGAGAGACAGAGAGGTGGAAACCACAACAGAGGTTGCCATTGTTTTGTCTCTTCTCTTCCCACTACGACGCACAAAGATAAATAAACAAATTCTATGCATATTCACTTTTTTAAACATTTTTATTATATCAAATTCACTATTAAGGAAATTAATTACTACTAACTCCATTCCTTTTTAGTGTTGCTTATGATTTTTATACATATCAATAAATATAATAAATAATCTTTTTAAAATTTTATAAAATAATTTTTAAGTTTCTTATAATAGAGTTTTTAATTTTTGTTAATAAATATTAATTATATATGAAAATTAAGTAAGAAATAAAGATATAGTTAAAACAAAAATAATTAATGTTATACTAAAATTGAAACTAATATTTTAACTCATATAATACACCAACTATACGTTTATTATAATAAATTATTTATAATTGAATATTATATTTATATATATTATATTCGAAATTTGTTTAAATAAATATTTTTAAATAAAAAAATATACTTTAGATTTATAACGAATAATTTATATCACGGTATAATTTTTTTTTAAATTATTGATCATTTTTTTAAAATTATTAAAATTTAAATTATAACTAAATATGATAAAGAAAAATTGAATAAGATAAAAAGTTAAGAGGATTTCTAAAATATTTTTATCAAATTTATTTTGAAAACATTAAAATTTAATTTACTAATAAATATCATAAATAAAATTGAATGAATCCTTATATATTAAAAAACAAATTTTAATATCATATTTAATTATAATTATTTATGTATTTAATTTTTATATGATTTTTACCATATTGATGATTATTTTTCATTCATATATCAAATGATTTATAATTTTTATATGAATGAATATAATAAATCAGTAACAAAAATAAAATTATATCCTAAAATCAAAGTATCAATATCTAGTAAATACAACATTAACTTAAATTTTAAGGTTAAATAATTAAAATATTTTTTTAAAAGATAAAAGATGAAACAAATATTAATAAACTAAATCTTGAAATTTTGTAAACATTAATAAGTATCGTCTCATGTTATTTTTTACATATAAAGAAAAAATAATAATAATTTTATTAAATTAATCTCATGATTAATTTTCTTTGTTAGAAAATAATGCAATATAAAACTTACATTTTAAATATTATTATTAAACATATAAATGAAAAATAATTAATATTATATTAAAAAATTAATATAATATTTATTTTATAATTTTTTCCATAATGTAACACTTATTGTATAAGAAATTCGTCATTCTAGGTCAATGGAAAATATCAAAGGTGGGTTGTATAGCCATATAAGCATCGCTAATCAGCATCAAGGACACACAACTCATAATAATGGAATAAGATATGAATTATTTTCTGTTGATTTTGACAAAAGGACAATTTATCAGAAGCATCAGGAATTAAGATTCCTCCTAAAACAGCCACCAAAAGGACAAATAAGTGGTGCAGGGCAGGGGGCAAACGTTGTAAGGGGAAAAACAATACCTAAATATTGCCCTCCAATTCCAGAGAAAACAGCCAAACATTAAACTATAAAAGAAAGAAATGTGTAATTCTACAATTAGAACATGAGCATATATATACAGAGAAGAATTAGTCTTTTATTGTGGATGGGAAGATATTTTTAGTGTAAATTGAAATAGTATCTTAACCATTCATTTCCTTATACTATTACCTAATTATCTAACTACTTAAAGCATAGGTTAATCCATGATAAGAGATGTTGTGCATAGATCAGATATTTTTTCACTTTCACACAAACCAAAGTTGGCTTTTGATTTGTGAATTACAGGTTGGGATTCTCGTGGTATTTAAAGGCTTGTTATCTAGGCTGATCATGTAGACGGGCTTCCATATCTGTCGAATTTATTGTAAGTTAGCTTTTCTAATTTAGGCTAAAGCCCCTATTGACCAAAAAATGTAGAGAGTCCTCACATCTCAGCATTCGATCTATATAATTGTGATTTATGACCAGCTGACCTAGGACGAAATAAACATCTTCACTTAATGTAAATGATTGATGCATAAAAATGGACAAAGTTTTGGTTATTAGAATAAAAAATGGACCAAGTTTCTATGAAATCTGATCTTCTCCACCATCAGCGGTTTTTATTCCAACTGCTTTTGGTCACTGTAACATTTTCAGGCCCACATTAGCCATGTGTCCCTTTAAATCTAACTTTTTTATTTTATATGTATCTGAATCAAACTTGGTATTAAACTAATAAGTTTATAGCTCGATATCAGTTTAAAGTTACATTTAATAGAAAAATGCATATTTTGATGTAAAAGAATAAAAATTGTCAGTATAGGTTTAAGTAGTATTTCTTAAGTAATGTCTCTTGTAAATAAAAAGTGGTTAGAGAAAAGACTTTGATAAAAACAATAAATCAGGTTTTTTATTTATTTTTATTAGTGCAAAGTTGATAAATATAATTATCAAAAATTAGATTTAATATTAAGAGATTTTCAATAATGTACACACTCTATTTAAAAAAACTGAGATAATCCGATAATCCTTGAATCTAACTTTGAGTCATTCAATATAAATTTAAATGCAATGGTATGACATATGGATACATCTCAAAGTCACAACTAGTGAATTTAAATTCCATTGGTATCTATCCTCCCTGGTTTAGCAAAGAAAGTTCTAAACTTGGCACAAGTTACCAACCAACTAAGAACAAGTGGAATTTCCTTGGTGTCTTTTTCCTTCAGGGTTCACACACATTCTCTTCTTAGGAGGGTTCTGATTCCGAGGTTGGAAATGTCTGCAGCAGTGTCCTCCACAACTCCTCATTTAGAGGAAGAGCTCAAAAACAAAGTAACAGACAACAACAACGTTGGTGGAGAGCCAGACCAAGAGCAGGTTCCTTACAGTGATGGTGCCAACTCTGATGTTGCTGAAGAAACTGAGCCTGAGGAAGATGATGAATCCAAGTTGGAATCTGACAGAGAACTTGATCTTGGCCCTCAGGTCACCCTCAAGGAACAGCTTGAGAAAGATAAGGTGTGATTTTCTTTGCCTTTTTGTTTTCCAAATGTTTCTTCACACCCTTTGGTTTTGAAGCTGTCTTTTGATGATAGCCTTTTCTTTTGTGTTTCAAAGGATGATGAGAGTTTGAGAAAATGGAAGGAGCAACTTCTGGGAAAAGTTGATATGTCTGTGGTTGGACTTGGAGGTGGTACTCAGTTTTTCTATTCAAGCTCCTCTTGTGCTGTTTTATTTTTTCACAGAAATACATTATCATAAGTATTATTGTTGTTCTTTTTCAATCAGAAGTAGAGTTCATTTTAGTAATATGAAACGTATATAACTAATTAAGATGAATCTCCAATTTTGATTAGAGAGGACAGTGAACAGACCAACAGTTGCATTTTTTTTTTTTAACTCTTGTAGACCAATTCTATAATGATTATTTCACTGAGATAAAATTGGCATTTAACTTGAACTAGCAATTATCTTTGGAACATTAACTGATATAAACTTAAACTACCAAAGCCTTCTTGTTTTCTTATGTTGGTACCAGCCTTTTTTGATATTTATGGTGGAATAACCCTCTTGAAGATGGCAATTTTCAATGAAAATGTTGAACATAGTTTGTGGCAGTAAGTTTCATTTCAGCTCCTAATTAATCTTTGGAGGCCCTGAAAAAACATGAAAGTTCTTGTGTTGGAATCCAGAAAGTAAAGACCCTGAAGTGAAGATATTGAGCCTCACTATTACAAGCCCAGACAGGCCTGACCTCATCCTCCCAATTCCATTCACTAATGATCCTAAGAAAAGTCTCTTCATCCTTAAGGAAGGAAGCAAATGCCGCACGAAATTCACTTTCACTGTCTCCAGCAACATCGTTTCTGGTCTCAAATATACAAATCTTGTTTGGAAAACCGGCGTTAGAGGTGAGACACCACTCCTTTTTGTTTTTTTAACTATTCGTACCAAGTATTCATCAACTTTGTTGGTCAACTATCATTTTAGAGTAACTTAGTTGAGTCATTTTTAGTGGAATCTTCTAGCTCAATTATGTATTTTTATTTACAAGATTTGAAATTGAAATTTCATTTAAAAAGATTAAGTTCAGTATCATTTAAATCAAATGGAATTTACTTTAATTAATTAAATAATGTTGACTGTATTGTTTTTTGTAACAGTGGGCAGCAGAAAGAAGATGTTTGGAACTTTTAGTCCTCAGCAGGCACCATATACGTATGAATTGGAAGAAGAAACTATCCCTTGTGGCATGTTTGCAAGGGGAACCTATGCTGCAAGAACCAAGGTAAAATCTTCAGTCAAACTTGGAAAGTTGACACCTATTTGTTTTCTTTTTTAACCTTTGAGTGGAATCCCTTGTGTGATAAATAGGAAGAAGTAACTCAATTTTCTTGCTTCAGTTTGTAGATGACGATCGAAAATGCTACTTAGATGTCAATTACTACTTCGAAATTCAGAAGAATTGGGCAACACCTCAATGAGATAGAAACTAGAAGGAAAATTTTCTTCCTCCGGCATCTTGTGTTTATCTGTTGTTTCAAATTGGATCTCAACTTATTTATCAAATCCATTTAGCAAAATTGTGCACATGCATGCTACATGCTAGTGTCAACCCCTACCCTTTTTCCCCCTACTTTTCTGTTATTTTTCCTTTTGATGTGAAAAATAAAAAATATATATCACTCTAATTTTTACTGTGTCAGTTGCAATTCACCTTATCGTATGTTTGGATTGGTTTCATAGTAAGAAACAATCAATCATGGTTTCACCGTAAAAACAAAAGAAATAACTGCTTCTACTTTTTATGTTATCGCCATGTCTTTAATTTATATTTTCTGTTAGAATACCAAGAGATAAAATAATTATAAAAAAAATCACTAAATACTTGGTAATAATATAATGTAAATTAAAATAGATCCATATGGAAAAAGATAAACAAATGAAAATAAGAAGGACTCTCAACTACTGCATGTGCTTTCTTAAACAAAAGGCCGAAAGGCCCATCATTTGTGTGGTGGGCCAAAGCTTTTTTTTCATATGAATGCCACATACATGCATTTTACTAACGGCTGAAAGCAGAAAAAGGAAAAGGCAAAACTGCAAATGAAACTAATGTTGGGGCCCCAACCCGCCGGTTATCATGGACCAAAATTTGAATGTCTTACAATTGCAATGTGTCATTTATAATTATAACATTTTGTGAGTGATTGGAGGTTGCTTTTAACTTTCTCTTCTCAAGTCCTTGAGTATTTTCTCAATTTTGGTTTTGTATAAATGGAACTCATATAACTATACTTTAAGATAAATGATTGTCCTTTCCCACATTATTATAGTTAACATTTCAATATTTTCTTATCCATTGCTGTACCTTATAACATTAGAACATATGTACTCACTTTGGACGTCATTTAATATTGCACATATTTATTAATATTTTAAGTAAGTTCAAGAGGCCTCCTAGCAACTTTTTTTTACACATTTATTTTATTATTCAAATGTTGTGTCCCACTTCTTAAATCCCTAAAATACTAAAAAAAAAATATTATTGTTGTTCATAAAATATATCTCAATATAACTAAACTTAAAAAATAAAATGCACAAAGGTATAATATTTAATTTTATTAATGTAACATTTTATAAATATACTAATAAACATTTTTATTAAATAATCTTATTTATTGTATTATTAAATATAATATAGTATTTTTAAAATAAAAATAAAGTGATTGATTCTTTATATAGTATTAATTAATGTAAGTCTCTATAATTTTGACATTTTTAATAAGTTTTATATAGTTTGACAAATGCTAAAAAGATTTTAATAATTAAATCATTCACTCACTAATACCGTGACAATTTTGTTAATTTATTATGACCGGATATTTTAATTATTACGTGCTCAAACTTTATTTTAATAAGATATAGTTGGAAGTATTAGCAAATGAAGTCTTACTTGAGAAAGTTATACCTCTTGGTTTGGATATGTAATCATGAATTGCTGTACCTTAAGTTTAGTTAAGGAGTTATTGTTTTGCTCATTGTGTTGGGTGAATTGTTCTTTTAATTAATTGTCATCAAATAATCCGACTTCAGGTAGAACAATAATGAGGGTGAGATCAAGTACGGAATGATCAACCTTCTCATTTCCAATGTTTTATGTTATGATGGTGGTGAAGATAGAGATTCCAACTCATTTTGAGTCACTAATCATGGTGGTTAAGAACATGATTGTGCAAGTTAATTATAACGAGTTTCAGAATGCTATCATTGCACACATGGGGTGAGGGACCTTCAGTAATGAATGCAATTCCTCAATTTTTCTTTCAACTCCAAGATGCACTAATTCATTGGTATCATACTTTACCAAAATGAATATACCCCCTCAATCCATAATTCTCATAAGTGTTGTATTAGATTTTTTTTAAAAAAAATAAATGTTATATTAATTTTTATAGTGATATTAATTACTTATTTTTCATTTATACTTTTAATAATATTCTTTAAAAACTGATTATTTTGTTACATTGTTTCTAAGAAATAAGATTAATCATAAAAATTATATAATTTTGTAAATTTACTATTCTTTTTCATCAATTAATTAGTTTTTTAATTTGTGTAAAATAATTTAAGATAATGTTTAATATGTAAGAGAGAGAGAGTATTTTAGAATAAATTGCTTTCTCCACTATAAGTATCATTCTAGCTTATTTTACACAGATAAAAAAAAGTTAATAAATAAATAAAAGAGAATAAAAATTTTGCAAAATTAACTTTATGACCAATTATCTTTATTAAAAAGGATGCAATACAATAATTATTTTCTAAATTATATTATTAAGAGCATAATTAAAAATAAGGTAATTAATATTATATTAAAAAGTTAATAATATAACACTTATTTTGAAACTTATTTTTTTTTCTAATACAATATTTATTATAAGATAAAAAGAGTACAGTATACTTCGTCAAATTTTGTAAGATTGCACGTGATCATTCTTATGGGAGTTAGATGTAGTAATATTTGTTAAATAATTAACAAATAGGTATAGCAATCTAACTCTTCTTCGTGAGTAACCACCCGAATCCACCTCGATTTGGACAGGAAAAACTTGTGTTTATCGGGTTTGGGTTCAAGTTTTTTCCGATTGATAAAATCGGGAACGGGGACGGGGATGTTAATACCTACCCCGCCCCCATCCCTATACCTGCCCCTGCCATGCTTAATAATATAATTAAAAAATTATTTATATATATATATA